TTTCCATTTTAGATCAAGAAGCTACTCTAGAAGCCGGAGCAGAGGCTGGTACAGCAGAGGCCGAACCCGAAGCCGGAGCAGTTCCTATGGAAGTTTCCATAGCCATAGGTAAGCTGTAGTCTTGCCTTGCTGTGTGGTGCCCTGTCACTTGCAGTGGACCCTTTCTGGGACAGAGCAGGACAGCTGTAGATCTGTCCTTGTCAAATACCACACTGATCTGTTTCTCATCCAGCTCTTGGAGCTCTGAACTCTTCCTGGATGTTCCTTCTTCAGAGTGAGGCAGAGAAACGTTAGTATGGAAAGGCCATGTCACTCCTACCTCCTTCATACATAGATCCTCCTGAGGGTCACAAGCACAGACACCTCTTGACCTACTTAGGGGTTAAAGTGAGGAAACCAAGAGGAAAGTGTGTGCTAGAGGGCAGGGCGTGCATTTTTTCTTCCCAGGTGCTTTTCCCTTTGGCATTTTGAAGTATTTTCTGCTGTGGCCACTCATGAAAATGGCCCTTTTCTCTTCCCACCCAGCTGAGAGTCTCCCCAGAGAACTACATAAAGCTTTATGAAATACCAAGGTTTTTAAAAAGAAAATCCAATATACTTGTGATAAAAACAAAGTAAAGAGTTAAAAGATTTCACTGTATTTTCACTTTGATGGACAAAAATGTGTAGATTGTTAATGTGACCTGTGCCCTAATGCACAAGGTGAGTCCCTCCTGTGGTTCATCCTAGGACATCCAGCAGGAGCAGGTCCAGGAGCAGCTCCTATGACCCTCACAGTCGCTCCAGGTAAGTGGCAGTGGGAGGCCCCAGTGTGCTGGAGTGGGAGGGCTGGCGTGTAGTGCTGGGGCTTGACCCCAGGGCCTAGGTGCAGTACACAACACGTCCTCTGCCATGAAGCTTACCTCCCCAGCCTAAAGGTTGGATTTTTCCATCAAATAACTTAAATGCATGTTTACCGTTTGAAATCACACCCTTTAAAATGAGATCTATCTGTGGCCCACTGTGTGCAACAATGTCAAATTGTAAGGGCAGGTGCTTGTTGAATATACTTGCATAATAAGATCCAGACTCAGACAAACTAACTCAGGGTTAATTTTGTGATGTTTTTCAATGCAGAAAAGAAATTAGCATTTTTCTCTTTAACATGGTAAGTCCAGTTGGGGGCAATTGCTGGATGTTTCTGGAACTTCTTAGGCAACTGTCCTCACACCGCCATAGCGTGCCCATGTGAGCTAGCACCATCTGACAGCCCTAAAAGGAGACTCTCCATATTGAGTGAGGAAACACAATGCGTGTTGTTTCTGTTTAAGCAGATCCTACACTTATGATAGCTACTACAGCCGGAGTCGCAGCCACAGCCGCAGCCAGAGGAGTGACAGTTACCATCGAGGTAGAAGTTACAACAGGCGGTCCAGGTGGGTCCCGATTTAGAACACTACAAGTGACTGGGCACTTGGTGCCAGTGGACTGTCAACGCATCTCTTCTTGAATTCCATTGGCCTGCAGTGAATAGTTGTTAGTTATTATTTTATAGTTGTTAGTTATTATTTTATAGTTGAAACTAAAGTGGGTTTTCAGACACTCATATAGCTTTGACCAAATATTTCTTTTGGAAGGAGTAAGAAGACCAAAATTATGGCTCACTTCTGAAAGTCCGGCTAATTTACTAGAACGGCCAGTTTGTCATTTTATTAAATTAATCATAATTATTTGTTTCAGCAGCACGCACGGTTAAGGTTTATATTTTATCATTTATTTAATAAGATGTAAAACTTTATAACAACTTTTGTATTGTCCCTTGCTGGTGGCTGCTGTCACCCTCCCTCATCTATTTCAACTCCAGAAACCTTTCTACAGACAGTGCATGTGACCAGTCTCTTGCTTGAACTGTTTCAGGGAATGCTAGCTGTCTTCACAAGTCCAGGAGCCTTAGCACTCTTGTACATGAACCCTTCCAATTACCAGCTCCAGTTCCAACATCCTATAATGTTCTAGAACCTTCTGCCCAGAAACACAAGTGCCATCTCCATCATTTCTGGGTTTTTTTTTTTTTTTTTTGGTGTCTTAAAGTGATCATGTAACACCCACCCCAATCCCCTGCTTCCCAGTAGGTCTCCACTGCAGCCCATTGCCCTGGGAGACCCCCACCTCCATCCCACTGCTAATTCTGAGGTGCATTCCTTCCTGAGTGTACCCTTGGGTTGTCAGTGCACTGACCTACCTGTCCACTGTCCCACGCTGTCCTTGAGCCCTTAGATGGTTTGCTCATTTGTGGTGGGATGATGCCTACCATGACATGTTGACTAGCTCTCAGAAAATACTCTTACATGAACTGAATGATGACCATAACCAAGCCCATTGGCTAGGATCCTAATGGTTTTGTTCACATGCAAACCCACACCCACTTCTTTAGTGAGACTCTATACCTTTAACCTCTTCCCGCTTCAATCTAATCCAATGTTGATGTTCACTGGGGTGTAGTAAAAAAGTAGTTTGCTCAATTTTATGAATAGATTTCAAGTAAATTTAAAAATAAAACCTCACTATTGTGAGGTTTGTTATCTTAACCTTGATTTTGCTACCATTTGCCATTTTAAACATCTTTGAAAAGCCCATAGTGTTGCCATAGTTAGAACCCAAATAATAGGAGTTAAAGGCTTTTGTGTTGTGTTGTTTTGTTCTGTTATGCAGGAGCGGCCGATCGTATGGCTCGGACAGTGAAAGTGACAGAAGTTACTCTCATCACCGGAGCCCCAGTGAGAGCAGCAGATACAGCTGAGGGATCTTTGTACACAGACTGTATCTTAACTGTAAATAATTGGTAACTTAAAGCTTAAGAAACTGGACGGCAGTCTGTTGTATTTCAGTATTAGAACTCAGATCCAACCGTGGATAGTTCCTGTCACTTCAAGTACAAGTGTCAACTAGAAATATTTTTATGCCCCACTTTACAATAGACAACTATGGAATTTTCATTTTCTTGAATCAAGAAATGGTGAAACTGATGTATGATTTGCAGTGTTTAGATAGAGTGTTTCTGTAGCTCACATAGTCCATAGAATTCAGGTTTGTCAACAGTGTTTTCAGGTTTTAGCATCCATGCTGCCAAACAGGATTGTGGAGAGCTGTCACAAGCTACATGTCCCCACATCCCTGTGCTGGTTATAGTCTTGTGTGTGTTGTCAAACTAGGCCATCCACATCCATACTGACTGGCCAGGTGTGCAGGATGGTGGCGCATGCCGCCCTGCTTGCCTTTCCACAGAGACTGCCAGCAGCTCAGATGGTAATTGTGTTGCTATTCCAGCTCTCGCTTTGGTGCTTGGTGCCTTTGGTTCTCTTATACCTTACTTCATATACATGTCCTGATGCCAGAAGATAGAATCATGGCTTTTTTTTTCTTTCTTTTTTCTCTTTTTTTTAATTCACTGGCACCAAAAATTATTTCTTTTGAGCTGGGTTCACTATGAGTGTAGGCTTCTTCCAAACGGATATGTGGTGCAGGTGTCTTGGAACAGAGCCTGCAAGGTTGGCCATCTTGTTTTGCACATGTGTGCTGGAAGAGCCAACTGAAGAGTGGACTTCAGAAGCAACTCCACTGTCTTTAATTAACACATCCCAGAGACACTTCGGCAAAGCTCTACTCTCACACTGTGGCAGCAGCCAGCCTCTTCTCTGTGTTGAGAACCTCTACTGGCTCCGTGAAGCCCTGCCTGACCGGAGACAGCCCAGGACAAGAGTTGGGGGCAGAAGGAACACAGGCTGCTGCACAGAAAGATGTTCTTGTGGCTTTGCGTGGTTCCTCCAAAAACAACCTGTAAAAATCAGTTTGGGTTTGTTTCTTTGTTTCACTCTTTAGTTTGCATTCTTTCCCCAAGTGTACTTAATCACCTTAGTGCCGGTTTAATCCTGTTCACAGAAAGAATTTCTGTATACAGTGTCAAAGTCTATACCATCCAATCCCAGGCCCTGCTGCTGGTGTATTTGGGAAGAGGAAAAGCCTTTAGCTGCTAGAGGACCTTACAGCCCTGGCCCGATGGAGGGAGGCACTGATGTATGAAAATGGTCTTCCAGGGCCATGTGGCTCAGTGTAGCATGTGCTTAGCATGTAAGGATGCTCTTGTACCCCAAAAATAATGCTGTCACCCTTATGAGGTACATAAGTAGCATTTTGGTGGCCAGCCATTGTTCAGCATACCAGTAAATATAAGTTCATTAGAAAACAGGATAACATCAGAAGTCATTGCTTGGCTGGTGAAGATTAAACCTGTGGTTTATAGTGGGTTTTTTTCCTAAAAGTTTCCTACAAAGAAGGATGTTTGAATCTACTAGTTGGTGAGAAGAATGCAGGCAGAGCCCAAATAAACTGCCAAATGGAATTAGTAAGGAAAAGTCACTATTGGGCAATGTATTGTTGTTTTGTAGCTGTGTAACAAATTATCCCAAATTTCTCAGCCTAAAACAGTGCCCATGTGTCACTGACTATCAGTTTTGTAACTCATGGCCAGGCTTAGTGGGGTTGACTGCTCAGGGTCTCAGGGCTGTGACTAAGGGCTGGAAGGACACATTCCTCATGAAGACTCTGAGAAGGAGTGACTTTCTTGCAGACTGTCAGCTGGGGCCTCTCTGGGCTCCTTTGAGGGTGCCCACATCCCTGCCCCAGGCCTAGCCATCTTCAACCAACAGGGATCCTTTGAGCCTTCATCTTCCTTCAAAGCCTCTGCCTTCCTCCTGTTTTAAGGGTTCATGTGACTAGATCAAACTAGAACAGAGATAAATATCTGAAGTCCAGTGGCCAGAGGAGTTACAGGCATTGGCAGGTTCCGGGGTTTGGCATAGGAAGAGGCAGGGCGTGCCACCTCCTGCCACCATGGACAGGGCCTGACCTGTCAGCCTGGCTGTTCATACTCAAGTGAACGACAGAAATGGCTTTCTTTCCTAACCAGGATCATTCTGTATTTTGAAGTTATTTTTTTAATAAAATTGAATTACGTTGTGTAATGTGCTTAATAGAAAATGCTTTATTGGACAGTTTTGTAACATCCTGTTTACTGCAAATGGCATAGTTGATATTGTCACAAATGTAGAAAATACTTTTGTACATACTAGCAGTGTCTAATTTGTATATACATCAATTAAATTTCCCTACAACTTGAAAAGGGTCTTGTAGAAATGAAAATACATGCGAACTTTGAGTCTGTGCTGACTGGTCTTTGCTTGCTCAGACTCCATAGTCACTTTCCGATACAGCAGGTGAAGAGACTTGTCCATGGCAGGTTAGTGGTGCAGGAGTGGAGCCAGGGAAACCCTGGCAGACAGAAACAGTGCCCTCTCAGGTGGGGTGCAGCACCAGCCTCCATGATTCTCTGCCTAGGAGCAAGTCACCTGACTGCAGTGCCCATCGTCATCCACCCCCTCTGGGAGACCACAGTGACGTTTGAACATAAAGGTGAGGATCTGCCAGGCAAGTAAGTGAGCCCTGGAACCTGACTTCTTGTTTGCAGATACTCAGTTTTCTAAATAGTTGTCTTTCCAAGTTAGGAAATTGCAAATTGTCAAATCTGGGTGCTTTCCTTTAAAATTTAAAGAAAGTGCCACGTGTGGTGGTACACATCTTAAACCCCAGTATTTAGAGCCAGGCAGATCTCTGTGAGTTCAAGGCCAGCCAGGGCTGAATAGTAAGACTCAATAGCCGGGCGGCGGCAGTGGTGGCGCATGCCTTTAATCCCAGCACTCGAGAAGCAGAGCCAGACGGATCTCTGTGAGTTCGAGGCCAGCCTGGTCTCCAAAGCAAGTTCCAGGAAAGGTGCAAAGCTACACAGAGAAACCCTGGCGGGGGGCGGGGAGTAAGACTGTCTCAGAAAATACATTAAGTAAAATTTAAAATTAGCTGGGTTTGGCCTCACAAACTTATATAATCCAAGCACCTGGAAGATGGAGACAGGAGGATCCATTAGTGGAAGGCCAACCTAGGCTACATGAGACCCTGTTCCACACCCTCAAAAGGTAGCGGGAGAGTATTAGGGAAGTCCCTTGTGGTCTTTACATAGTTCTAAGAACTTTATTCTCATCTGGTAAGAACCTGCGTGGTGAGCTGGGCAGTACTGGGACATTGCCAGAGGCTTTGGTCTCAACTTGCTGAATTAGCCAGGCATTGGGCCCCCAATGTCCTTGTGAGGGGTGTGTAGCAGCTGGGGTGTGGGAACTGGATGGGGCTCAGTGGTTAAGAGCACTGGCTGCGCTTCCAGAGGATCCAGTTCAATTCCCAGCACCCACGTGGCAGCTAACAACTGTCTACTAACCCCAAGATCTGACACCCTCACATAGACATATATGTAGGTAAAACACCCATAAATTTTAATCTTAACAAGTTGGGACAGGTCAGAATGTTTTGGCTGAGACAGATTATTGGTTGCTGCAGTCCTTCAGGAACCTGGAGGTGAGGGAGAGCTCAGCACCCTGGAATCACCCACAGACTGCATTCTTCTGAGGCCTGGGCCACCCTTGCCATGGCTGCTTCCTCCCTGTCTTAGAACCGCTCCGTATTAAACACCACACCCCACGCATGCATTAAGACCCAACTCCACAGCCTGGGCTAAGGAGCTTTGAGGACACCAAGGCAAAAAGTGGAAAGGGCCAGGACTGTGCCTGTGTCCACTGAGCCCTGGCCCTTGATCTCTGCTGCCCACGTGAGAGCGACAGATTCTGAGAACCATTGTTTCCCAGTAGTTGAACCCAGAGGATGCATGTGACTGGGCAAGCAGGTGTCAATAGGTGGTTCAACCCTTCTGCACTGGTCTAGAAAGGAGTCTGCCTCCTTGCAGGCCATGTCCAGGGAGCACTTAGGGCTCAGGACCTGCAGGACCTATACTACAGACTGTGAGGGCCTCTGTGAGCAGCTGTGATGAACAGCCCTTGACATGGCTGTTGTAACTGGGGGTGGGGGCTTTTGCAAGACACTAGCCTCCCAGGGTTGTGCAGGACTAAGGTCTCTAGCAGCTTTCTAGAAGCTACCAGGGAGGCTCTCTAAGGCCCTGGAGTTGGTGTGGGAAAGGGAACCTGCTGGTTTGCATTAGGCTCCCACACTGGTGCAGCTGTGGCCCATTAGTGCTGGGCTCAGCAGCCAGAACCAGGCAGATGGAGGAGGCCCCATACCGTACCACCAGGCCGCTGTCGCCCTCCCTCCAGCCCGCACCACCCCAGGTACTACCTAACCTGCATTTCCATGCTACCTGGTTTGCTGGTTTGCTCAGCTTTCCCAGCCAAGCGCAGGGAACCCCGAGCAGGTTGGGGCTGTCTCTGCTCTCGGAAGTGAAGTGGAGTCACCCCGCTTCAGAGGTCACGGGCCTCTATCCTGAGTGCTTCGGCCCTACTCACCAGTGGAGCTTGAGGTTGTGGTCTAGGATCTCTCTGCTCCCACCTTGCCCTCCAGGAGGTGGAGTGCCCCAGTCAGTCCCTTTCTCAGGCCTCACTCCATCCAGGCCTCCCCTCCAGCTGGACACTTGCACTCAACAGGAATCTTGGCTGTATCCCACCCCCGACCACTCAATTCTGTAGCCAACAAACACAAGGGACCTCCTGGCCTTTGCAGGTGTTGCCAGTGATAAGGCCAGTGTGTCCTGGAGCCTTGGGTCAGAGCTCAGGCTCTTGCTCTGGGAACTCAAGTAGGACAGCTGGGGGATGGGGGTGGGTCACCCTTTACTTTAGCCAAGGGCATCCCCCAAAGGGCCAGCGTTCTGCCTGTGGCTAAGCTGGCCACTCTGCCCAGCTTCCAGCCTCCTGGCACAGGGTTCTGTTTGCATGTCTAGTTTTCCTGTGGGACTCTGTCCTTGTCCACTCAGTGGGTAGACAGCCCTGCCCTCCCCACCTCCCAGGTCAGTGTAGCCAACCAGTCAGAAGAAGAAACGGTGGCTGGAAGTGACAGGAGGCATCCCGGTAACCGGCAGTTCCACAGCTTTAGCCTAGAACCCGGGAGCTCAGTCAGGCATCTGTGCCGCCTTGCAGATTCAGGGCTGCAAGCAGCTTGCTCCCCCAGCTACAGGGCATGTCCTGCTCAGATGGAGGAAGGGGCCTTCCTCTGTCTCCACCTCTTTTCATCCCACCTGACTCTGCTTCCCTGGCTCAGGGGTAGCCAGCCCAGTGCGGGAGATCCTTGCATTCTTAGGGGGCAGACCCTCAGCTATTTGATGGCACCTGTCTGGCTCTAGAGGTAGAGCCACAGCCCCTGCGCACCGTGAGGAAGGCGTATACCCAGGGAGACTGTTGTGGCTGGAGTGGAGTGGTCAGGCCGGAGCAGTGCTGGGAGTGACTAGGCTGAACAGCGGTCGCTGGGTAGGGGTGCGGGGCGTCCGAAGGAGAGACCACGGTGGTAGCCCGTGGTCCCGCCCTGCCGCCGCTCAGCCTGGCAGCGTTCCTTCGCAGCCGCCTGCCAGCACAGCCAGCCCCCTGCCCCCACGGAGCCGGTGCCAGAGCAGCATTCCGCAAGCCGGGCTGCATCTCCCCAGTGGAGGCTGCGCCGAGAGGCCACTCGGCCGGGCCTGGGCCTCTGGGCCCCCACCCGGCTGTCCCGAGTGGGCTTCCCTCGCTGCGGCTGCGGAGGTGGCTCAGAGGCCCTACGCAGCCAAAGGCCATCAGGTAGGTCCCAGAGGCGCAGAGCAAAACGTATGGGAGGCCGGAGCAGCTGGGGACCCCAGACTCACCCCCAAGTCGGAGCAGCCGGGACCACAGGGGGCGGGTGGTGAGCGTGGCTGGGGTGCGGAGCTCGGGCCCTCAGCGTCTCCCGGCTCCAGGGAGCAGGTGGGTCGGGGGCCGGCGCGCCCAGCTCGGTGACCTCACGCCTACCCTGGCCCCGCCCCCGTGGAGCAGCGGGAGGACACACGGGTTAGACTCCGGACGAACTTCCCCGCAGAGAGGGGCTCAGCGCGGGAGGGTGGGGTCGCGCGGTTCAAACGCTCCCACGTCAGCTGCCGGCCCGGCCCGGGGACCCCGAGGCTCTCTGCAGGGCAGCCGCATCGGGACGGCGCGCACACCGCGCATCCGCGCCCCTCGCCCGCACGCAGGGCGGCCTGGCCCTTTAAGCGTCCAGACGGCGGCCCCAGCTGACGCGCGGGCTCCAATCGGCGCCCCGCGCCCCCCGCCCGCCGCGCCCGAGGCTCCCGGGCCGCAGCTGCTCGGCCGGGACTCGCCGCGGCCCTGCGCCTCCGCCCGCCCGCCCGCCCGCCCGGCCGCGCCCCCGGGGCCATGGTCGCGGGGGCGGCCCCCAGCGCGGCGCTTCATGGGGCGGCCCGGCCCCGGCCGCCGGGGGCAGCGCGATCCTGCGGGGCCCTGTGAGCTCCCAGCGCCGCGGCACCATGGTACGCAGGGCCCTGCCTGTCCCCCCGCTTATCCGCCCACCTGCGAGCGCCGCCTTTCGGAGCTCACGGTCCCGCGGGACCCGGTACAGGGGCTGGAGCGACCTGGCCCCTCCCCCGGGGGTCCTCGACCCTATCGGCTGGGTGTCCGCAGGCCCGGAGTGCGGCGCGGTGGCGCGGTGGCGCGGCTAGGGGTGAAATTCCTGGGGTGGGGGTGCAGGCGCGAAAGGCCGAGGTCTTGCAGCACGCGGGCGGAGGGGGGCGCTTCTCTGCGCCCGGACGGCGCCGCCCCGGGGCTGGTAATGGGGGGGAAAGAGGAGTCGGATTCCCGCCCAGGCCTTGGGCCACGTGGGCGCCGCAGCCGCCCTGCCGGAGATTGGGACGGCTCGCACCAAGGGCGGGGGGCGCCCACAGCTGGAGTGGAAATTCCTGTGTGACCTTGGGCCGGTCCCCTGCTGTCTCTGAGCCAGGCCATTCCAAAGAAGGCATCCAGAAGTCACGAGCCCGTACCCCTGCTCGGCTTGGGCTCTCCCAAGCTGCCCAGGGCGGACCGATGGCTTGACTCTCCCCAGGTTTCCCCAGATGGCCCTTAGGAGTCAAAAGCTCGGTGGCCTCTGCAGGTGTCCCCTGGGGGGAGGGCTGCTGCTGGAGCCGGCATAACCAGGTGGAGAGAGGCCTCCTCAGCTTCAGGGAGCCAAGCATCTGGCCAGAGACCCACAGCTGGTGGGCACTGATGGGGAGGGGCTCGGCCCACAGCTGGGCCCTGCCGCTTGGCGGCTGTGTTAGGCTAGGGAGTGGATTTAGAAACACATGGGTTCCTGCCAGGCTCAGGTGGCCCTTTCCAAGCAGGTGGGCCCTGGCGGGGTGGTGGTGGGGAAGGAAGGGTGTAAAGGAAGAAGAGGGGGGGCCCCAGGCGTGGGGTGTGTGGTATGCAGGTCTCTCCCTGCCACCGTCCATCCCCTCAGTAGTGCGGACCCTGGTCACCTGCAGGCGCAGTGACTGCGGAGGATGTGTGTGGTGACCATGTTTGGATACTTGGATGTTTCCAGACCCCACACCTCCACCCCACCTCACTTTCAGAGCTCACTAAACCATCCAGCCACTTGGAGTGTCCCAGCCAGAAGGAAGGGGTACCCAAGCAGGGCAGGATGGCCACAGCTCCAGAGCACAATGCCTCTCTGGGCCTCAGTTTCTCCATCTGTGCTGCAGGAATTGGTCCCAGAGGATGAATCAGAGTGAGTCAGAGGAGAGGGACGGGCGGGGCTCCATGCCACGTCCCAGCCCGATGGGCCAGCAGTTCTGGGGTAGTCAAACATGGGTGGCTCTTGGGTGGCGGAGGGGACTCAAGGGAGGTGATGTCTGCTGTTGGTGGAGCTGAGGGCAAAGAGTAGGTATGCCCTAGGCTGCTCTCTGGAAGGGCAAAGGCTCATAGCTCCCCGGGGTTCACCTGCATCGGAAACACAGCTTCTCCCTTAGATGGCTGACAGGAGAAGACTCGACTCACGGGGCAGCTTCACCCTTGGACCTCTGAGGAAGAGGTGGTGGGCTTATGTCCCCCAGTGGAGCAGATCGGCATGGGAAGCTTTTATCTTGCCAGGCAGAGCCTGAGAAGCAGCCAGTGCTGGCCTGTGTGGGGCTGGACTGGCCAGGGTCGGCCGAGCCCCAGGCACCCAACTTCTGGGAGTTCTCTGGCAGTCTGGTCTAGTGGTCTCTGAGGTCCCTAGGGCTCTCCAGGAGGTGTGGCCTCCAAGACAGGGCCATCTTGGAGCTTGTAGGCCTGCGCATCACTCCAGCTACACTGAAGTCTCCTGTTGGGAGCGTGGTAAACGGAGAACACAGCCCGTCCTCCCCCGAGGGCCCTAGGTCCTAGGAGCTGCTGTGGCCAGGCCTGGGAGGTATGGTGGACCAGGCCTGGACGTTTTTTAGCCTGTTGTCTTTACTGTCCACCATCGAAGTGATCCCCAGATGTAGCCTGGGTGCTGTAGCAGACGCTGGGTCTTCTGCTTCCCAGCTGCTCACCATTGGGCAAGCTCTTTTCTGTCGGTGTGGTGGGACGGTCAGGATGCACAGAGGAACAGAGAGGAACAGATGGAAACCCAGTAGGGGCACAATGAGTAAGGATCCTGGGGTGACCCCTCGTCCTGCTATGCTTGGGCTTCTCAGAAAGCTCCACATCCCAAGGAGCTCCAGGTTCCCCACCTATCTGGACAAGTGGTTCACACGGCCCCTGTCCCCTCCCTTCTCTGTGTGACCACCCTATGTGTGCACAGAAGAGCTCCGGAAGGAGGCCTGGAATGGCCACCTGGGCACAGGTCCCAGGACACTAGCCCTAGAAGCAGCTGTTCTGCCATGTATCCCCCCACACTGTGGGAGTGCAGTGGCTGGTCCTCACCTTCCTGTGTCCTGGCCCCACAGTTGCTGGTTGAGAAGACTACAGACTCCCCGGCGGCAGAGTTCTCGCTGGTGGAGGACGTGGCCCTGCACTTCGCCTGCTTGATGGGCCGCCTGAACGAGCAGCGCCTCTTCCAGCCGGACCTGTGTGACGTGGACCTCGTGCTGGTGCCCCAGCGCAGCGTGTTCCCCGCACACAAGGGCGTGCTGGCCGCCTACAGCCAGTTCTTCCACTCGCTGTTCACACAGAACAAGCAGCTGCAGCGGGTGGAGCTGTCCCTTGAGGCGCTGGCACCCAGTGGTCTGCAGCAGATCCTGAACTTCATATACACGTCCAAGCTGCTGGTGAACGCAGCCAACGTGCACGAGGTGCTCAGCGCGGCCTCGCTGCTGCAGATGGCTGACATCGCTGCCTCCTGCCAGGAGCTGCTGGACGCTCGGTCCCTGGCGCCCTCGGGCCCCGTGGCCCTGGCACAGCCGGCTACCAGCTGTGCCCCGGTGCCTCCACCACCCTACTACTGTGACATCAAGCAGGAGGCAGACACCCCAGGCATACCCAAGATCTATGCCCGAGAGGGCCCTGACCCCTACTCTGTGCGTGTGGAGGATGGGGCAGGGACAGCCGGGGACTCTGCTGCGCCTGGCCTGGCACAGCCACTCTTCCTCAAGGAGGAAAAGGAAGGGGCACCTGAGGAGGCCGGGGCACCTGAGGAGGCCGAGGCCCCTAGTAGCCTGTGCAAGCTAGAAAGTGGAGAGGGGCTGGAGCCAGAATTGGGTGCCTCGGGCACCTATGGGCGCCAGGAGCAGTCCCAAATCATTGTGGAAGTAAACCTCAATAACCAAACGCTGCATGTGTCCACTGGGCCTGAGGACAAGCCAGGCTCTGGGGCCACTGTGGTGCTGGGCCAGGAGGATGGGATGCAGGAACACTTAGAAGAAGAGGGGGAGGAAGGGGGAGGGAGTGGAGGGGGGGAGGAGGAGGAGGAGGAGGAGGAGGAGGAAGAGGAGGAGGAAGGGCCCAGTGAGCAGGAAGATGATGAAGATGAAGAGGATGGGCCCAGTGAGCAGGATGCAGAGAGTTCAGAGGAGGAGGGGGAGGCTGAGGGCAGGCAGGACCCTGTGGGCCCTGCAGGGTGTCAGGGCAGCCAGGTGGACCCCCCACTGCACGGCCGAATGTCCACACGGTCCCGGGGACAAAGCGCTCAGCGCCGAGCCACCCCTGAGCCAGAGGAGGCCGGGCGTAGAGGTGGGAAGAGGCCCAAGGCCTCTGGAGCTGTCCCTGCAGCCCAGGCAGCGGATGGGCTGGGGGCCAAGGTGAAGCTGGAAGAGAAACAGCAGCATCCATGCCAGAAGTGCCCTCGGGTCTTCAACAACCGCTGGTACCTGGAGAAGCATATGAACGTGACCCACAGCCGCATGCAGATCTGTGGCCAGTGCGGGAAGCGTTTCCTGTTGGAGAGTGAGCTGCAGCTACATCGGCAGACAGACTGCGAGCGCAACATCCAGGTGAGACATGCTGCCCAGGTAGTCCCCAGACTGGCTCGAGGAGGAGGAGGAGGAGGCAGGTGGAGCTGGGCTCTGTTCTGGCCCGCAGAGTCATGAACAGGACTGGGACAGCACCCGAGGGACAAGGCAGCAAGGGTATGTGTGGGGAAGAGTGGAGAATTATCTGGATGCATGTGATCAGGGGAAAGTAGGAGCTGAGGAGGAGTGTGTCTTCTAACAAATCTCTAAGGCCCAGAGCTGCCTGTGCGGCTACATAGGTTGTCCACTACACAAAGTGTGCACAAAAGGGAAGGGGCACGCCTGGAGAGGGCACCACCCTTCACTGCCACATTCACCTCTGCAGGCGCCAGGCACCTGGAGAAGAAAGACTGGATGAGGAACTTGGAAAGAACTCGTGTGTGTGTGTGTGTGTGTGTGTGTGTGTGTGTGTGTGTGTGTGTGTGTGTTTTAGGGGGGCGGTGCTGGGATGGCTGCCAGGCTTGGGCCAGTCTGTATCTGTCTGAGCACACCCCCACATGTGCATGCATACACACATGAGCCTGGCCCAGGACAAAGAAAAAACAATGGCCACAGGTAGGCGGGTGTTAATTACCTGCACTAATTGCTAATTGTGATGCCAGTGGGGAAGGTGTGACCTGGTGACCTGCCCATCCCCCACTCTGTGCACCTGTTTCCTGCCCCTGGGCTGTTTCTCAGCTATTCCTGCTGCACCTTAAGCCTTTGCTCCTTCCCGCCAAGCCCATGGCCTCTTGCCTCTGGGGCTCCTGCTGGGATGAGCAGCACAAGGGTCCAGGAGAGCCCCTCTCAGTCCACCCACCCTCCACTGCCTGAGGAAGTCCTAGTACCCTCTGCGGCCCGTAGAGCCCCCACTGACGAGAACCTGAAAGGCCCCTCCACCAACCAGCGCAGCTGCCCTACCTGACATGGTCTACAGCCTCTTGCCTAAGAGGGGGTCCTGGAAGTGGTACCCCAGCAGCCATGTGGGTAGGTATGGGAGGAGTCAACCCAGCTTCGGAACATCAGACCCAGCCATCTCACCAGCACTCTTTGGATGGGGAAACTGAGGCCCTGTAGAGGTGGAAGCTAGTCCCAGGCCACACCCAAAGCTCTCTTCCTTTTCCCATAGTGTGTAACCTGCGGCAAAGCCTTCAAGAAGCTCTGGTCCCTGCATGAGCACAACAAGATAGTGCATGGCTACGCAGAGAAGAAATTCTCCTGTGAGATCTGCGAGAAGAAGTTTTACACCATGGCACATGTGCGCAAGCACATGGTTGGTGAGTCCCTGCCAGTGCAGGTGTGGGCAGAGGATGGGCCGGCTGCTGGCTGTGTCAGAACTGCATCCGGGTGACGGGAGGGTGTGGTGGTATTGTGAGGGGATGGGGAAGCAGCGCACAGATAGGCAGTTTGCCCAGCACGTCAGGATGCCCGAGCGAGCTGGCACACTGCTGGCCAGGCTGTGGTCCTGGCACGGGGTTCTGTCCACCCAGGGAAAAGAACGGCTTTTCCTGAATTACACAGTTCCCCGTGGGCCGGCACAGTCCTGTCTCGGTGTGGCAGGCACTAGCCTCTCATGCTTTCTCACGTTTTGGCCCTTCACAGGGCTTCAGGCTCCTTTTGTGTTCAACCTCCCCCAGGGCTCACACCTGGACACAGTAAGGAGGCCTCCCCAAGTGTGATAGCCACCCCATGCTCAGGCGAGGCTGCACACCTTCCAGGTGGACCTGACTGAGCGTCTGGAGTTCCCTGTGGTTACCTTTTCTCAACTGGGCTCCAAGCACTAGGAAGGATTGATCAAATAGACAATGGCCTGGCAGACATTTCTTCACTGGACAGTGTAAACTGGATGGGACTGGGACCCTGGGGTCTAGGTCTTGGCCAGGAGCAGGCTGGGTAACAGGTTGGTGATCTCTGAGCAGGGAGGGCTGTCTCCAGATGTTTTCTTCATTGGCCTTCTGTGTCACTGGTCCCAAGGATGAGGCCTTCACCCTGGGTATGCCATTGAGTTCAGTACCACCCCCAGGAAACTGTGGGGTGCAGGGCTACCAGAAGGCAGGTCTGGAAGTGGGGGTTCAGGTAGGTACCCTGGAGAAGTGACTGCTGGCACCCACCTGCAGCCCACACCAAGGACATGCCCTTCACCTGTGAGACCTGTGGGAAGTCCTTCAAGCGCAGCATGTCGCTCAAGGTGCACTCGCTGCAGCACTCGGGAGAGAAGCCGTTCCGCTGTGAGGTGAGCTCTGCTTCCTGCTGACTGCGGGGTCCCCCTGGTGGTCCCACCTCCACCCACCCCCATCTTCAGGGATAGGGAGGTCAGAGGGAGCAGCAGGTCTGGATTGGTGGCACCTGCCTGTAATCCCAGCACTGGAGAGGCGGAGGCTGCATGAGCAGGTGTTCAAGATCAGCCTCCGTCATACAATGAGTTGGGGTGGGGGTGCATGAACCAGCCAACCAAAGGGCAGGCTGGGGAAACAGCCGGGCAGGAAAATGCTTGCTTTGGAGGCCTGAGAACCTGAGCTCCAATCCAGGTATTTGTTTTTGTTTTTGTTTCATTATTATTATTAAATTAAAGCTGGGCATGGAGGAGCATGCTTATAATCCAGTGCTGGGGAGGCAGAGACAAGTGGGTGCCTGGAGCTCACTGGCCAGTCAGCACAGCCGGAACAAAGTCTAGGCCAGAGAGAGACCCTTTCAAAAACAACTAGGGTGGAGGATGCCTGAGGAAACACCAGAGGTTGACCACAGGGGAGCATCGATCTGTGGACACACATGCACATGAGTTTCAGGTTGGGTGAGGCAGGATGAGGATGTCTGCAGCTCTTCTCTTACCCACAGAACTGCAATGAACGCTTCCAGTACAAGTACCAGCTGCGGTCACACATGAGCATCCACATTGGCCACAAGCAGTTCATGTGCCAGTGGTGTGGCAAGGACTTCAACATGAAGCAGTACTTCGATGAGCATATGAAGACCCACACAGGTGCGCGCCCTCCACCCGGGGCTCAGTTCACTTCTGGGCCCCCTTGTCCCTGAGTTGGGTAGGGTGGGATGGGGTAGGGTGGGATCTAGGGCTGGCCATAACACCCCTGCCACTCCTCCAATTTCAGGGGAGAAGCCATATATCTGTGAGATCTGTGGCAAGAGTTTCACCAGCCGCCCCAACATGAAGCGGCACCGACGCACACACACAGGAGAGAAGCCCTACCCGTGTGATGTGTGTGGCCAACGCTTCCGCTTCTCTAACATGCTGAAGGCACACAAGGAGAAATGCTTCCGTGTCAGCCACCCGCTGCCCAGCGACCCTGCCACCCTACCCACCCCACACCTGCAGCCCACAGCCCCACTCTTCCCCACTGCAGCTCCCAGGCTGGACACCAACTGATGCCCAGCACAGGCCCTCCTGGCCAGGGACAGCAGAAACACAGGCTGGGGGCTGTGCTGCAGCTGGGTGCCCCTGGCACTGGGTCCTGGTGCATGCTGGGAGCTCCCTTCTGCAGCTCCTTGCAGGTTTTGCTCCTTACTTTTGGGAGTAAGGGAACACAGAAGGACTGGTTGGCTACACCCCTCCAGGTGAGGGATGCTGGAGGCAACAGATACAGGGCAGGGGGGACTCTGGGCTGCAGACATGGCCATGAGCCAGGCAGGGCCTGGGTCAGCCTCACCTGCTCATCCCAGCTTCCCTGTTCCCCTAACTTACTCCCTAGGATGGGAAGGTTTGGGGAGAATTCGGGTACACCCCTGTTGAAGGAGTTGTAGACCCGCCCCCCAGCAGGCCTATGCCCAGGGAGGCATGGCAGGGTAGGGGAATGGTAGGGTGTGAGGGCTGCAGACCCCCTCTGTGTGATGTAGAGTGGGGCGGGAGGGGCTGGCCCCCATGGGTTTCTTTTCCTATTCACATCCCTGCCAGGCAGGTTCAGGGATCCTCAGCCTGCGCAGGACTTTTAAAGAGCCCCAAATCCTGGAGAGAAATTCTCCAGGTGCTGGGGACCAAGCCTTCAGGGGGTGGAGAAGCTGACTCCTCAGCCCCAGGTCCCAGGGGTCCTGCAGGAGAATGATATCCCAGGGGTGGGTCTCACAGGAGCCTCAGGCAAGTAGTTCAGGGTTTCACGGTGCTATCTGTGGGTCAGGGACAAGGAGCTGTCCACAGGGCACCCCTGTCCCTTACCAGCCTGCCTGGCTGGCCTCCCCCACCAGGAGACACATGCATCTGTGTCTGCCCCCCAGAGGCCTACATGAGGCCTCCTCTTGTGGGGCCAGGCCACTACCCGCCTCTGGCTGGCACCTGGTCCCCTGCACTCTGCACTGCCTGGTGTGTCCGCCCAGCCAGGGGGCTCAGCCAGTGCCCAGTGCTTGCCCTCGGGAGGCAGGCACTAATAGGTGACTTCTCTGTCGTCGTTTAATGTCCTTATTCCTGCGTTTAAATGGGAGAAAGTTTCCATAAGCTATGTTTCCTATTCTGGTCTCCCACTGTTCATAAGCTTCTGTTTGTTACACTCTGCACCTTATTCCCTTCCCATCACCATCTTCCCAGCATGCCACACTGGGAAGAGGCCTGCGCCCAAGGGTCCAGGCAGAGGGTACCAAACCCCTCTGACCTCAGAGGCCCATGGAGCTGGGACAGAGGGCTGGGGACATTTTAATCATCAATAAACGAAGCACTTTATTCTGTACAGGTGTGGGCAGGCCCAAGGCGCCCTGCTGACTCGGCTGTCCTCTGGGCTAGGAAGGACTGAGTGACCAGTTTCTCTGGTGTAGGCAACCTCTCCCAACCTGCAGAGTCAGGCTCAAGCATGGCCTCAGGTCCCTCTGTCTCCACGGGGGACAGGTGGGACCCTGGCTGAGAAAGGAAGGCTTCCCATTTGGGTGCAGACTCCTGCCTCACTGCCCAAGGTTGGGCTTCCAGCTTCTCCTCTGCAGCTGTTCTTCCCCTGGTACCCTAATCGCTGGGCTTCCACAATGTCCTCAGGGACCCTTTCCCTGCCTCTTGTTTCTAACCTTTGGCCCCAGTGCCTGGCGGCTCTCCAGAGCTGGCTCACATTAAAAAAAAAAAAAAAAGAAAAAAGTTGACCACCTCATGGGGTCCCCTGCTTGTCACTTGCTGGCCCTGATGGCCTTCATGGGGCCAGGACCCTGGTCTATCTGGCCATTCTTCAGTAAGCAGCAGTCTAAAGGGTAGGGGCTGGAGATGAAACTCTGTCCCAGGAGGTGGGTTTCCCATACCCTTACATACCCCCACCCCCAGGGACCAGACGGGTTCTGGGCACTGGCTGGGATGGTTGCTATGTGGAAGGTGGGCACAGCCCCTTCTCCGAGGCCGAGGTGTGTCTGGTGCTACACACTTCACCCTGCCCACATGGAGCTCCCTTGTGCTTCTCCGTGCCAGCTTTTACACTTTATTTTAAAAAAGATGGTCAAGTTGCTGAATGTTGGCATGTGGGAACTGGAGCATGGTGGCAACTTCCCAGGCCCACCCAAGAGACTGGCCTTGGAACCCTCACCTCTGGGAAGACTTGCTGGGGTCTCTTGCCCAGCTGGACTTGGTAGGTCTAGTCCTGGGCCTGCTCCTCTGAAGTGATACAGGCTGCTCTGGTGTTGGAACAGTTGTTAGGGAGTCTCCATGGAGGCCTGGTGGGCCCTGAACCCAGGAATGACCACTTTCATATCCCCTCAGTGGTCTAGGTGGTGGCAAGAAAGCCAGACACAGGTGTGTGGAGCCTCCATGTCTGGTTGCATAGACACCCCCATGGTCCCAGGGTGGGGACAGTAGTCATTCAAGGGAGATGAGTGATGGGGAATAAACTTAGTACCGCTCCTGGCCTTCCGCCCAGCCTCTTCTTTCTATGTCCCAGAATCTCAGCACACAACCCCCATGGGCATTTAGGGCATCCATGGGGCCCACCTTTCCCCTAAAGGTTTGGTTGAGATGGGCCCCACACTGCCTCTGGGTCAGACACAGAAGGGCCTAAAAGACCCGAAGTTCTGGGATCTGCTGAAGTAACCCCAAAGCAGCATCCATGAGACTCCAGGGCCTCAGTCCTGGGGTCAGCAGGGCCTGCCCCCTCATCCCCCAGCTCAGTCCTCTGATGCTTTCAGACCCTAGGATCGCTGAGAGCCAGGGACCTCACAGGTATTTCCTGCCACTCATGCTCTGCTTGGTGGAAGTCTGGGCCTCCACAACTGTCATCTGTCACCCTGCCCACAGGTGCAGAGTGCCACAGAGAGACCTGGAGGCCTGGTGTGGGAGGCTGGGGGTGAGTTGGCTGTCTAGGCAGATTCCTGTGGGGTTGCTGTCCTCAAGACACTCTTAAGAGCTGGATGTGGTAGAACATGCCTGTAACACCCGCACTTGGGAGGCAGAAGTAAGATGGTTCGGAGTTCAAAGCCACCTTTGGCCACATGGTGAGTTCCAGGCCAGCCTGCCCTATGGAATTGACACCCTGTCTCAAAAAGGCCTAAGAGTCAAAACAAGCTGTGATGTGAGGGGGCTACTTCTTTTGTTGTTGTTTGGTTTTTCGAGACAAAATATCCCCATGTAGCCCTGGCTGTCCTGGAACTCACTCTGTAGACCAGGCTAACCTTGAACTCAAGAGATCCGCCTGCCTCTGCCTCCTGAGTGCTGGGATTAAAGGCATGGGCTACCACCACCCCGCTGTAAGTGGGCTTCTTAGGAGGATCCTGTTATGTTCTTTTCTCGCACCTCTGTGCTCTGTCCTTCCGTGTGCCACTTTCACACAGGGCCTTGGGCTATAGGCTGTGGGTGTCAGACAGAGTGCCTAGAACATTCCATTCCCCCAGGGTCTGGGCCCAGGCTCCTCTGCCTTATCTCTTCCTGAAGCCTGGCTGGGTGTGGGGGGCCAGCTGGGAGACCAGCTCCCACATTTTACCTCAGGGTACTCTTGAGAGAGGGATAAGAGATTTAGATAGAAGGATAGAGGGGAGAGAAACAGAAACACAGGATCGCCTTGGGAGGGCCTGGATCCTTATCTACCGGCCCCTTCTGTCCTTTCTAAAGGGCCTTTTATAGGAATGCCAAGGGGTGGAGCAAAAGACCTCCCCCTGGGTTAGCCAAGTGTAGACCCTTCCAATCACCTAGTAACCATGCACATGGTCAAGCAATCCTCTAATGCAGCTCTGCTGGGTAAAGCAAGCTCAGATCTCACTAGGAAACCTTTATGGGCCTCCACAGCTGGGAAGGCTGTGCCCTGTCTATGCATGTCTGGTTATTCAACAAGAATAAGACATGCACTCTGGCTTAGCAGTACTCTCCAGCCTTCCTTTGCTATGACATGGCCTTTTAGCTGTGTATAGTAAGTCAGGTGAGGCTGGATCCCACTGTGGTGACAAGCCACCCACACTTCAGTGACACAACACCTATGACCCTGTGAAGTCTGTGGGAGAGGCTTTGGTGCCTCAGAAGGACAGGTTACTTTGATCTGTGGCACAGTCATATTGACCTGGGTCTCCAGAAGGACGAGCTAGGGTGGGAACAGCATGCTGATGTTCAGAGATGACATGTCATTACCGAAGATTCCATGGCCAAGCCCTACTTCAGGGTGATGTGGAAAGAGGACCCTGGTGAGCAGCTGAAATGAAGAGAGTTCTAGAAATATAGCAGGCAGCAATACCCACTCCTGCACCTTGCCTTGGTCTCCTGGGACCAGGTTGCCACGTAGTCTACTCGGCCAAGGGCAATGGAACACCTGAGAGCTGAGGCAGAGGGATGATTGAGCCCAGAAGTTTGAGGCCAGTCTACAACATATACCTTGTCTCAAAATGAATACAGCTTTTAAAATGGTGTGTGTGTATACTGACATGAACATGTAGCTGTCAGAGGATGGCCTCCAGTGTCAATTCTCACAGTTTTGGGGGCTGGGAGCAAGATTTCTTGTTTATCCACTTTGTAGGCTAGGCTAACTGGCCTCTAAACTTCCAAGTGTTCTTCTATCACTATTTCCCATCTTTCCATGGAGCTGCTGGGATTTCAGGCTCATGTACTGTACCCAGCTTCACATGGGTTCTGCATTTTACCCACTGAGATGTTGTCTTAGTTAGGGTTTCTATTGCTGTGACTAAACACCATGACCAAAGAGCAAGTCGGGGAGGAAGTCAGAACAGGAACTCAAACAGGGCAGGAACCTGGAGGCAGGAGCTGATGCATACATAGGCCATGGAGGGGAGCTGCTTACCGGCTTGCTCCCCATGGCTTGCTCAACCTGCTGGGTTTTTTTTTTTTTTCTGGTTTTTTGAGACAGGGTTTCTCTGTGTAGTTTTGGTGTCAACCTGCTTTTTTACAGATCCCAGGACCACTAGCCCAGGGATGGCACCACCCACAAAGGGCTGGGCCCTCCCTCATTGATCACTGGTTGAGAAAATGCTTTACAGCTGGATCTCATGGAGGCATTTCCTCAGCTGAGGCTCCTTCCTCCCTGATGACTCTAGCTTGTGTCAAGTTGACACAAAACCAACCAGTACAGTCATCTCTCATACAAATTCATGTATGCACACGTGTGCAAGCACACACACACACACACACCCTATGTAGCTGAATATGACTTTGAACTTATTGTTCACCTTCTGCCTTCATCCCCCCCATGCTGGGATGGTAGGCATGTGCCACCACACTGGGTTATGTGCAGCACTGGAAATCCAACCCCAGGTCTTGTGCATGCTAGGCAAGCACTCTACTCACTGAGCTATATCCTTGCCCTGAATACACCTTTTGGGGGGGGGTAGAGGATGAAAAATATAAAGTGTGAAGAGAGTCTGAGAAAAGGCAACATGTTGCAGCATCCCCAAGGCCTTGTCTGGAGAAACCTGCTAGATGTCCACAGATGGTCACTGGGGCCTTGAGGGAGTGGGGAGCACAGGTCCCATCCTTCTACATATCCCCAGGAGCAGCTGAGCAGACCCCACCTTGAACTTTTCTCAACACTCTTGCCGAGCTGGAGATGGGGCTCTCGAAGCTCTGTCCCCATGCCCCCCGGGGCTTCTGCAGCTCCCTGCAGCTGCCTGCAGCTGCCTGCAGCTGCCTAGCCTGCAGTTTCCTGCAATGCTGAGGACACAAGGAAACAGAAACCAGAGAAGTGAAGCCACTCGCGTGAGCAGATGCTAATCAACACAGGAACTAGATCTCAAGTCTGTCCGAGTCCCGGCCACTTGCTCTGTAAATGCTGCACCGCACCTCTTCTGCCCTCAGAGGCGGGCACACGTCATTGTTCAGCAGGACCAGGGCTATCAGTGGTAAATGACAGACCCTGTCTAGATAAAACAGAGAGTGACTGAACACAAGGATATTAGTTAAATCTTCAGAAGAACCAGAGATTTTACCAGAAGCAAACCCAACCTTGTCCAAAGGAGGGGTGCTCGCTGTTTTATCTTCTGTGAAAACTGGAGTGTGCTTACAAGTGTTTTCTCTTCTTCTGGCTCTGGAGATCGCCATGTGTTTTTACACAGACTTTTGTAGAACAAAAGTTTATTTTTGAGATTTAGTTGTTCACAATTCCCTTTTTCATGTCTTGTTCTTGGAGCTGAGGACTCACTCCCTGATCCAAAATACCTGTTATTCTCCTGCGTCTCCCCAAGGGCTTGCAGCCCCGTGATTACATTACTAAGCTACACTCATTTATTTGACTCTCTAAGAGTCAAATCTAGTCTTAGGATTGTCAAAGCACTCTCTCTGCTCCACCCCCACACCCCCCACGGTGTTTGTGCATATATAAGTATGTTTAGTGAATATAAAACACATGTAAGAGTTGTAATTGTGTACATGTGTGTGTTTATGTGTGTGAGTAAATGCCGGTGTGTGTTGCATGAATCCTAAATGGTCTTATAATAAAAAAAACAAAAACCTGGAGCCACATATTGGGGTAAATACTGAAAGATCAGAGAGACAAAGGAACAAGCCACTGCCACGTCTCACTTCGCCAACTCCACGAATCCTCTGACTGAACGTCTCTGAGTCCTCAGCCGAAAGTGGTCTAGCTGAAAAGACTTTAGTTCCTATCTCCTCACATCTTATATACCTTTCTCTGCCCAGCTAGGATTAAAGGCTTGTGGCTCCCAAGTACTGGGATTAAAGGTGTGTGCCACCATTGCCTGACCTCTATGTTTAATCTAGTGGCTTGCTCTGTCCTCTGATCCCCAGGCAAGCTTTATTTGATACACAATACATCACCAGAGGTGTGAGTATGTCATTGTGCCTGAGGAGGTCAGAGGACAGCCTTGGATGTCAGTCTTTACCTTCTTCCTTGTTTGGGAAACAAGGTTTACAAAAGGTTTTTCTGATGCACTGCCAGGCTAGCTGCCCCTCTGGAGATCCTTCTGTTCCCCCCGCCCATCTGGTAGGCACGTGAATTACAGATTCTTTTTTTTTTTTTCTTTGTTTGGTTTTTCGAGACAGGGTTTCTCTGTGTATCTTTTCGCCCTCCCTGGAACTCACTCTGTAGCCCAGGCTGGCCTCGAACTCACAGAGATCCGCCTGCCTCTGCCTCCCGAATGCTGGGATTAAAGGCGTGCATCACCACTGCCCGGCCTGGATTACAAATTCTTACACTGCTCCTCTGGCTCTTCCATGGATCTGAACACAGGTCATCAGTCTTTTGTGGCAGGTGATCTACCCACTGAACTGTCTCCCCAGCCCCCGGTTTTGTTATTTTAACCACTGTCAAGGGTACAGATGGGCCTCGTCAAACTCGCACGGTACGCAGCCTCACCACCACCCACCTCCAGAACTCTTCAACTTCCCAAACTGAAACGCTTGGTCTCCAAACCGGAATCCCATGTCCTTTGCGCCGAGCCCTGACAACCACCTCTCCACGTACTGCCCCTGAGAACTAACGATACAGATGAGTCCCATACAAAGAGGGTCACAGGGTTTAGTTCATGGCTGGCTTGTTTCCTTTAGCATAATGTCTTCAGGCTTCATCCATGTTATAGAAGATGTCAGAACTTCTTTTTGTTTTTGGTTTTTTGAGACAGGATTTCTCTGTGTAGTTTTGGTGCCTGTCCTGGATTTCACTCTGTTGACCAGGCTGGCCTCGAACTCACCTGGCTCTGCCTCCCGAGTGCTGGGATTAAAGGTGTGCACCACCACTGCCTGGCTCAGAACTCCTTTTAAAGAGTGAACAAAATTACATTGTATATGTTTGGGATTTTTTTATATTTTATTTATTTGAGGTGTGTGTGTGTGTGTGTGTGTGTGTGTGTGTGTGTGTGTGTCCAAATATACATGCCACAAAACACATATGGGCATCAGAGAACAGTTTGCAGGAGGAGTCAGTTCTCTCCCTCTACCATGTCAGTTCTTGGGATGAATCTCAGGTCATCAAGGCCTGGCAGGAAGCTCTTTTACTGGTTAATCCATCTCACCATCCCTGGTTTGGGGATGGGATCACGCCATGGCACACATGTGTATGTCAGAAGAAAACTTCAGAAAATCAGTTCTCTTCTTCACCATGTGGGGCCCAGGGACCACGCTTAGGTCATCAGGCTTAATGGCAAGCACCTTTACCTCCTGACCCATGCCGTAGACCTCTATTTCTAGGTTTTTAAAAAGTTGACTTCTGGGCTGGAGAGGTGGCTCAGCAGTTAAGAGCACTGGCTGCTCTTCCAGAGGTCCTGAGTTCAATTCCCAGCACCCACATGGTGGCTCACACCCATCTATAATAGGATGCAACGCCCTCTGCCGGCATGCATACATGCAGACAGAGCACTCTCACATAAATAGATATTTAAACAACAACGAAAAATTGACTCCCTGGGAATGTTTCCCAGACAGAGAGTTTCACTAGGTATAGAATCCACAACTGATAGGTTTTAGAGCCTTAAAAAAAGTTAAAAGCGGGATTGGGGAATTTAACTCAGTGGTAGAGTGCTTGCCTAGCAAGCGCAAGGCCCTGGGTTCAGTCAACTCAAAAAAAAATAAATAAATAAATAAATAAATAAATAAATAAATTAAAAAGTGTGCCACTTCCTGTGGCTGCCGTAACTACTACTACTACTACTTCTTCTTCTTCTTCTTCTTCTTCTTCTTCTTCTTCTTCTTCTTCTTCTTCTTCTTCTTCTTCTTCTTCTTCTTTGATTTTTTGAGACAGGGTTTCTCTGTGTAGCTTTGCGCCTTTCCTCGAACTCACAGAGATCCACCTGCCTCTGCCTCCCGAGCGCTGGGATTAAAGGCGTGCGCCACCACGGCCTGGCTTTTTTTTTTTTTTTTGGTTTTTCGCCATAACTTCTGATGAGAAGACACTGTCACCCAAGTAGCTGCCCTTCACCCTTCATAGATCATACATATATTTTTCTTTCTCTTTGATTTTAAAAATTTTAAGTATGATACATTTAAGCATGAATTTCTCTGCATCTATCCTGTCTGCAGCTTGCTTAGCTTCTTTATGGTATGTGTGGTATGGTGTGTGTGAGGTGTGGTATGGTGTGTGTGTGTATGATGTGTGTGTAGTGTGTGTGAGGTGTGGTGTATGTGTGTGTGTGTATGATGTGTGTGTATGTGTGGTGTGTGTGGTGTGTATGTGGTGTGTGTGTAGTGTGGTGTGGTGTGTGTATAGTGGTGTGTGTGTGCAGTATGGTGTATGTGTGTAGTGTGGTGTGTGTGGTTGTGTGTGTGTAGTGGTGTGTGTGTGGTGTAGTATGTGTGGTATGGTGTGTGTGTGTATGGTGTGTATGTGGTATGTGTGTCATGTGGTGTGGTATGGTGAGTGTGTGGAGTGTGTGTGGTGTGGTGTGATATGGTGTGGTGTGGTGTGGTGTATGGGAGTGTCCACTGTGTTCATGTGGGACCCAGTTATCTTTCCACCGCGTGGATTCCACTCATCAAGCTCTGGTCCTCAGACACCTTTGCCCTTGAGGCCCCCCGCCTCTCCTGGTGTGTCTTAACTAAATTTGGGGATTTTCAGCCATTGTTACTAGACTTAGTCTTTGACCTGTCTCGCTTCCTTCTCTCTCTCTCCTTCTTTCTCTGGTTAGGATACAGTGCAGTTTTCGGCTCTGTTTGTGCCCCAGGCCCGAGACCCTCTGTGTAACTATGTACACTCACTGTAACACCTCGCCGTTGCCTGGTAGGGGGGGTTCTAGGTCCTTCTCTGCAGTGATTTATTCTCTCACTTTTTTGTTTGTTTGGTTTTGGGGATTTTTTTTTTCCAAGACAGAGTTTCTCTGTGCAGCCCTGGCTGTCCTAGAACTCGCTCTGTAGCCCAGGCTGGCCTCGAACTCAGAGATCCACCTGCCTCTGCCTTCCTAGTGCTGGGATTAAAGGTGTGCGCCACCACCCGGCTAGTCTCTCACTTTTGTCAAGGCCACTCAGGAAGCTTTTGCTTTGTTGTATTTTTTCAGGTCTGTAATTCCCACTTGGTTTTTCTGTATCACTTCTATTTCTTACTGAGATTTTTCTGCTTTGAGAAATTTAAAGGAATCTTTAAATTGATTGATTTTTAATTTTGTGATTGTTGCTTTCAAATCCTTCCAGATAATTCTAGTGTTTAATATTTTCCTGCATGTTGGTGCCTGTTGATTCTTTTGGCATTCAAGTTATGATATTCTTAATCCTTGGTCTGATTCTCTCTCTCTCTCTCTCTCTCTCTCTCTCTCTCTCTCTCTCTCTCTCTCTCTCTCTCTCTCTCTCTCAGATCTTTCATTGCAATAAGCAAACAGATTGTTCAAGTTTAGTGCCCCTTGTCTTTCTTGAATTACCTCTTCCTCTTCCCAGTTCAGGAACAAGTATTCTCCTCGGAAGCTCCCCTAGTCTAGCCCTGGTCTGCTTTTGTGAATTCAGGTTCAGAGCAGAGTGTAATCGTGAGAGGCCGTGAAGATCTTTAAATCTCGCTCCTGCCAGTGCTACCTGGGGACAGGGGATCCCCTAGGCCAGTCTTGTGTCTCTGAACGGGAGAATGAGTTTCAGGCTCAGGACACCTCCCTTGGATGCTTGCTGGCAGTGGGGCTCCTGCTTTGTCTCCCTGTGGCGGTCCCTGTGTGGACTCGTGGAGGCTTGTGGGTGCAGTCTGTGGCCGGAATGAGCCTTCCTGCGCTGCCTTGCTGCTCTGTAGGGCCAGGAACCATCATCCTTGGCTCCCTCCATGATGCCCACCTCAGCAGATGTAGGCTCCGTAGGGATGGTGTTCACAACTGACTCAACCACCCACAAACTGTGTAAACTACACAACAGGCTCTGGATGGCCGATGAACCACGCTTCAATGTTTTCCTGGGAAGCCTGGCAGGGAGTCAGCACCGTAGAATCCGTCAAAAACCAAAATATGGCATTAAGTCATCTGGTGGCTATAAATTAATTTTTCAGTCAGTGTCTTCTATTCAGGACTTTGGAAAGTGAGACTGTGATCACATTTTTATTCACTTGGGGAGGGTTCTTCAAGTTGTCAGAGATGGGTATGTCTGCTCTGGCTCAGCCGTGTGGCAGCTGTGCAACCCAGCAAATAACTGCAACGTTGTCTAGAAATGCCCCACTGTCCGGGGCTGGGATGGAAACCCTCCCGGCCTGCCCTAAGACAGCCCTTGAAGTTGCAGAAAGGTGGGCAGCCCACCTCTGGAGCCTGACCAAGTATGTGCCCCATAGGACTGAGTGACTGTCAGCTGTGCTGCTCATGAGGGACAGGCAGTGATGGTTCTGGAATCATAAAAGGGGAGGTGACTCAGTCCCCCCCCCCCCGTCTTTTCTCCTATCCCCCCACAAGCTCAAGGTTAAAAACAAGTGACTCAGAGGCATGGTGGGGGAGTGCTCCATTACACCTCCTACCAGTGTCCCAGGGCTAAATTTAACCCACAGCTGCAGCCTTTGGAGCTCGGGGAATGCGTTAATTTAGAGACTAAAGCCCATGTGTGTGGGTTGGGAGGTGGACGGGAGTCCAGAGCAAGGTGGGCATTGAGATTGGCTATGCCTAGTCTCAACCCAACTCCTCAAATCACAAACAGGCTTGCAAGGGCCCAAGGCCAGGCAGGAACACCATAAGCCTAAAGTGGACGAAGGACAATGGGCACAGACAGACAGGCAAAGTCCCTGAGCACTATACAGACTGTGGGAAATGCCACTATTTAGACTCTACAATTCTGAATTGTATTCATTCCCTCGAATATTAAGAATTTGAAGGTCTAAACACCCAGAATAGTAGCATCCTAGGAAACTAGTTTTCCAGCAGGCCTGACACCTCTGAGTGCTCCTTGGCACATGCTGCCCCAGGGTCTCTGGCCCTCAGCAGAGCTGAGCTGAGGCCCTTGGATTCTAGCGCGTCTCCCTCATTGAATGGGAGGGGAAACTGAGGCTCAATGGAGAAACACCTACCCTTATTGACTTACGGGGTTTCTTTAAGGAAAGGGAAAGTCTCTGAACTGAGGCAGAGAGGAAACCCCTTCGCATTTTGAAAGTGGGCGCCAAGGTTTCTAAACAGTGATTGCCAAGGACACGTTCACCGAGCAGGAAACTCAAAGGTACTGTAACCAGGAGTAGTCACGTGAGATACGCTCTGTGAGGACGGCTGTGAGCACACAAGCCTGGGAGGCAGGGAGGAAGGAAGAGTCCTGGAAGAGGGGCGCCCTGCTCTGTGGACTTCAGCCCGGGGCCAGAGTTCCCTTCATGCATAGTCTATACTAAGGAATCCAGAGGCAAGGCTTCCCTGGGTTCTGGTGGCAAATAGGACCGAGAGACTTCCAGTTCTGGAAGGGCCCAGACCCCACCCTCACCCCATGAGCCCCAGCGCTGAGTCAAGGCTGCTCAGGGAGAGGGCCTCTGCCCAGCTGTCCCCTGTGCGTCATGTGCAGGAGGCCAAGTGGCTCCTCTTACAGGGTCCGGGCATCCTCTATATATAGCCCAGCACAGACAGCTGCGCAGTCAGTGCCTGACCCCATAGGACAACAGAGGTGTGCAGAGCGGGCCCTGACACACAGGTTTGCTGCGTTCTAGGGAGCCGCACTATGACGCTGGGCTTGGAGCAGGCTGAGGAGCAGCGGCTGTACCAGCAGACGCTCCTTCAGGACGGCCTCAAGGACATGCTGGACCACGGCAAGTTCCTGGACTGCGTGGTGCGCGTGGGCGAGCGCGAGTTCCCGTGCCACCGCCTGGTACTGGCCGCCTGCAGCCCCTACTTTCGCGCGCGCTTTCTGGCAGAGCCCGATGGCGCGCGAGAGCTGCGCCTGGAGGAGGTGTCGCCCGACGTGGTGTCCCAGGTGCTGCACTACCTGTACACATCGGAGATCGCGCTGGACGAGGCAAGCGTGCAGGACCTCTTCGCCGCGGCGCACCGATTCCAGATCCCGTCCATCTTCACCATCTGCGTGTCGTTCCTTCAGAAGCGCCTGTGCTTGGCCAATTGCCTGGCAGTCTTCCGCCTCGGCCTCCTACTAGACTGCGCGCGCCTGGCGGTGGCAGCGCGCGACTTCATCTGCTCGCGCTTCCCGCTGGTGGCGCGCGACAGCGACTTCCTGGGGCTCTCCGCTGACGAACTGATCGCCATCATCTCCAGCGACGGCCTCAATGTGGAAAAGGAGGAGGCAGTGTTCGAGGCGGTGATGCGCTGGGCCGGCAGCGGCGATGCCGAGGCCCAGGGGGAGCGTCAGCGCGCACTGCCTACCGTCTTTGAGAGCATTCGCTGCCGCCTGCTGCCTCGCGCCTTCCTGGAGAGCCGCGTGGAGCGCCATCCACTTGTGCGCGCCCAGCCCGAGCTGTTGCGCAAGGTGCAGATGGTGAAGGATGCACACGAGGGCCGCCTCACTACACTACGCAAGAAGAAGAAGGAGAAGGGCGAGAAAACCGTCCAGGCCAAGGAGGCCAACCAGGGCGCAGCAGACACCAAGGCTGAGGACGATGAGGAACGCGTACTGCCTGGGATCCTCAACGATACCCTACGCTTCGGCATGTTCCTGCAAGACCTCATCTTCATGATCAGCGAGGAGGGTGCAGTGGCCTACGACCCAGCTGCCAACGAATGCTACTGTGCATCTCTGTCCACCCAGATCCCCAAGAACCACGTCAGCCTGGTGACCAAGGAGAACCAGGTCTTCGTGGCCGGTGGCCTCTTCTACAATGAGGACAACAAGGAGGACCCTATGAGTGCTTACTTTCTGCAGGTGATTGGCCAGCCCTGGGAGGGAGGGACTAGTGCTGGATACTAGGAAGCGGCCTTGGAGTGTGGGAGGGGCGTGTGTCTACTTGAGCACTCTCTTTGGATATATGACCTTTGACTGGCAGCCACTTATTTAAAGGGGGGAGAGTTAAAGGCAGTTTCCAAAGGGCTGTGTAAGTCTGGGTGAGGGGAAAGCCTGGCCCAGTGGTGTGGCTGTGGGACCCTGTGGTCTTGAGCCTTGTCAGGCCTCCACAGTCCCCCAGGCTGGCTACGGTGTGAAGTGTCTTCTCTCTGGGTCTCTGTACATAGGACACTCACTGTTCTCCCTGGTCCATTAAATAATATCAAGTGTCCATTCACACAATTCGGGGTCCTTGTACCTGTAACCACAGGGTTAGTCAGATGCAGAAGAGGTGGGGTGGAAAGCGTGGATTCTAAGGGGTGGGAAGCCTGGAGCAGAGGGTCACCAAAGAGTCAAGGCCACGCGAGGACCCCATCTTAGAGGGGAAAACTCCTCTCCATGGGATTTGGCTGAGCTGGGCCAGGAGGTTAGTACAGGAGGTTGGTGTGGCTGACCCAAGGATGCAATCTGCCCACAGTTTGACCATTTGGACTCTGAGTGGCTGGGGATGCCGCCACTCCCCTCACCACGCTGCCTCTTCGGCCTGGGGGAGGCTCTCAACGCCATCTACGTGGTCGGTGGCCGGGAGCTCAAGGACAGTGAGGACAGCCTGGACTCAGTCCTGTGCTATGACAGGCTGTAAGTGGGCGGGGTGAGGCTGCCGTGGGGACAGGGTGGTGTGGGGCAGGGCCCCTGGGGAGGGGCTAGGATCACTGGAGCACCCAGGAGGCCGGCACAGGTGCACAACCATTGGGTGGAGACCTGAAAATAAATCCGTGAGCAGAGGGGCAGGTAGGCTGGTGCAAAGGCCCAAGACAGCAGGGGAGGGGGCCCAGGGATGCACTGAATGCATTCTAACATGTGTTGTGAGTGTGGGTGCCGAGAAACAGACTTGATGTAGCCATGCTCCAGTCCCTCCTGTCCCTCCAGGTCATTCAAGTGGGGTGAATCGGACTCACTGCCCTATGCAGTATATGGTCACGCGGTGCTTTCCCACATGGACCTGGTCTACGTCATTGGCGGCAAAGGCAAGGACAGGTGAGGTTCAGGCTGGTGGAGTGGAGCCTCTGTGTGGCTGAGGGGACAGGCAGTTGTCACCGCCTCTCTCTCTCTCTCCCCATTCACCCTGTCGGCCCACAGGAAATGTTTAAGCACGATGTGTGTCTATGACCCCAAGAAGTTTGAGTGGAAGGAGCTGGCGCCCATGCAGACAGCCCCGCTCACTCTTCGGGGCCACGGTCCATGATGGCCGCATCTTTGTGGCTGCAGGGGTGACAGACACAGGGCTTACCCAGCTCCACGGAGGTGTACAGCATTGCAGGACAACAAGTAGGTCCCTTTCCCCACCCCCGCTCCTCTGCAGCTGCTCTCCTGAGTCAGCCCTCTCTGCCCTGCTGAGGGTCATAGACCCAGGTCCTCATGTAGATCTGGGACATTGGCATAGAACTAGTCCCTCTCCTCTGAGGCTTCCCTGCAGGAGAGTCTACAGAAGGGCTCCCAGGGTGAGGTGGGGCGGGGGTGACAGTTTCCTCATTTGGGGATTGCTACCAGGAAATGGGCTGGCTCTGAGGTTGCAGCATCAAGTCAGGAGTTCAGGAGAGAGAAGCCATCTGGACCCACCCCAGCAAAGATGGCAGTTAGTGGGTACCCAACCAAGAGGTGGGGCCTCCTAGAGGAACCAGGCTCAGGAGAATGGAGATTGGTGGATGAAGGGATGTGGGAGGGTTCTGGGATGGGATAGGTGACAGAGTAAGACCAGTGAAATGTCTCCTAGGAGTTTAAGCTCCATGGCTCACCGGCTGCCACAGGACAGCAGATTAGGAAAATTTCTCAGAGACAGGGGTCTGGTTTGCAGCTGTGACGAGGGCTAATAGACTCCTCGGGCTGGGAATGTGTTAGGGAAAGGACCAAGGAAAGGCAGTGGAGCGAGCGTGGCTTCTGAGGAATGGGGCAGGCAGAGGAGCTGCATTTCCAACAGTCACTGAGGTCAGCGGTGGGGAGGGTGTTGGGCGGGAAAGAGGGTGAAATGGATGCTTTCGAGTAAGTCTAAGAGGCCAGTTGTCGGGGGAACCCTGGGGGATAGGCAGCAAGTTGAAGATCCGTTCAGGAAATGTAGATTCAGGTACCTGGGGGTGTGCGGGAGGAAAGCCAGGGAGCAGACACCAGGAGAACCGCCAGATGTCTTAGAGGAGAAGGATGGAGGGCATCCAAGGAGCAGGGCCATCAGTGGCAGGCAACACAGCCTGGGCCTGAGTCCAGCAACACTGGGGACTGAGTTCACAGGTATAGGGATATATATATATATATATATATATATCTCCATTCACTATGCAGGTTAAATGGAATGGCAAAGTGATGGGGAAGGGGAGGAGGAGGACCAGGAAGGGGGAGGAAGTAAAGGTCAGAGTGAATGGGGGCACGGCTGGATGACCAAGCTTCTAGGCGGTTGAAGGGCAGCAGCCTGGAATTCGGATTTCCCGGGGTGATGGATGCTAGGAAGGTGGGAACAGCGGCTGCTGAAGCCCTGGATAACTCTCCTCCCCCTGTCCCTAGGTGGTCCTCTTTTGAGGCCTTCCCACAGGAGCGCAGCTCGCTCAGCCTGGTCAGCCTAGCTGGCACTCTCTATGCCCTGGGTGGCTTTGCCACTCTGGAGACTGAGTCTGGAGAGCTGGTCCCCACGGAACTCAATGACATATGGAGGTGAGCCCAGCCTCAGGATCTGAGGGGGATCCTGAGTGTCCCAAGGCAGGGTCAGCAAACACAGTGTTTCCACCCTGGCTTCTCACAAGCCCTTGGAGGAGAGTGACATGTGCCTGCCCCGCTGTGGAGCGCCAGTAGGTCACAGGCAGGAGCCAATCCTAAGCTTCAGGCACAGACCCAGAGTCTGTCCTTTTCTGGGGTGCTTTGTTTAGGAGTGGGAGGTAGCTGGATCCAGGCTCCAAGAGCTGTTTTTTTTTTCCACACCCCTTCCTGGTGTGGGGAAGAAGGCCATCATCTCAGGGACTTCTTCAGTGTACAGAAGCTTCAGGAGGAGAGACTTGAATTTGGGGACTGGAAGTCTTCCCAGAGGGCAGTGAACTTTGAGGAATGTGGGGACCTTGGGATGGCTTTTCCTGGGAGGGGGCTGCTTTACACTGCCGGGTATATTCTTATGGTATCTGTTGTGGGGATCCCACTTTTTTGTTTTGTTTTTGAGACAGGGTTTCTCCGTGTAGTTTTGGTGCCTGTCCTGAATCTCTCTCTGTAGACCAGGCTGGCCTCGAACTCACAGAGATCCGCCTGGCTCTGTCTCCCGAGTGCTGGATTAAAAGCGTGCATCACTACCGCCAGGCGAGGATCCCACTTTTAAGCACATGAAAATTGTTTAGAAATAGAACTACTTGGAGGTAGGCCTAGGGCACCAGCTACCCCTCCTTGCAGGGTCCCTGCCTGGCCTCAGTTGATAAAGCCCCCATCCTTGTACCCACTTTCCCTTCCCCTCAGATTCAATGAGGACGAGAAGAAGTGGGAGGGGTCCTGCGGGAGATCGCCTATGCGGCCGGTGCCACTTTCCTCCCTGTACGCCTCAATGTGCTTCGCCTGACCAAGATGTGACCGGTGCAAGGCCCTAACTGAGCCTCCTTCCTGTCCTGTGGCCTCACAACAAATGCCTTGTGGGATCCAGAGAGGAGCTGGGAGAGGCCAGTATGAGCCAGAGAGGCTACTTCAGTCAGGAAAGTGACGGAAGGGATTTCTCCATGTCTCCTCAAGGACTGAAAAGCTAGGCAGGCACCCCAGGCTGTGTTCTGGCTCTGCCCATGTTGGCTGTGTGTGCCCATTACATCTCCTAAGGGACTCAGTGTCTGTGCCCATCATATGGGAGTGTCTGTTGTTGGCACCTTCTGGTGTTAACCCAGACCTCCCTTAGGAAGTTCAGGGGCAATAAACTGCCTTCTGAGCATCTAACCCAGGGTCTAGAATTAGCCACCACAAAGAGCCAGTGTCTAGAGGGCTGAAGATTAAGAGCTTGACTATACCAGGGTTGGGCTGTCAACGTGAGTGGTCCTGCCCTCACAGGACACCCCATCATGTCCTGTGAATGGCCCTTCCCCAAAGCCTGGAACCATCAGCTTAGAGTAGACAAGAAGCCAGTAGAATACCATGATAGAAAAGTCTTTTATTCTGTTGGTCAGGCCCCATAGCCTGGGCCTGGGGCCCAGACGCAGCTGAGCAGAGCCCAGTCCTCTGCCCCCAACCCCTACTCCAGCTTCTCTTTGTCCTTCCTCTGCTCTTCCTCCAAAGCCAAGGTTCGCTCACGCTCCTTTACCAGCTGGACACCACAGTAGGTAACAAACAAGATGGCCAGCGTGGTCTGGGGGAAGCCTGTTGGAGGAGGAGCCACGCCCCCTGAAGCCTCCCATCCAGGAGACTCTGCATCCTATCCCAAACCCTGCTGGGTCCCTTGGGTGCTAGGGTGTTGTGTGCGTGTTGGGTAGACCAGAGGTTCCTGTCCTCGTGTGAGATTGGGCACGTGCCGTATCCTCTCGCCCTGTCCCTTACCTGTAAGTATGAGGCGTCGGGCCACCAGCTCTGTGAACTCAAGGCTGTTGAGACTCACAAGATTGTACATGATGATAGCCCAGAAGTTTACAGCCCCGCAGAGGGCCCGGACCCTCCGAGACATCTGCTCTGATAGCCGGGCCTGCTGTCCAAGAATGTGTCGACACGAAGGTCAGGAGAGAGGGGCATGGTCAGTCATTGTCACTAAGGCCCAGGGGAACAGTAAGAGCTGAGTAATGCAGCCAAGCCTTGCCCACTCAGAAGCCAGGGGACCCAGTTTCCCACTAAGTGAAACTGCCCTGGCGAACAAGAGAGGTTTAGGGAGAGAAAGTTCTGGACCAGGGACCAAGCATGCCTGGATGACTCCAGGAAGCAGCAGGGCCGCCACCTCCTGTGACCTAGCTGATCCCAGCCAGTCCCAGCCCTGGACCTTCCTACCCACCTCGATTTGTGCCAGCGGCCCGCACTCTGCCAGCTTCTGCCCCCCAGAGCTCAAAATTGAGGCCAAAGCAGTTAAGGACAGACCACAGGTAGACGATGTCACAAGGCCCAAGCCACAGAGTGGTGACGACAAACGTGGCCACGGAGGCAGCCAGCTCTGGGATCACAGCGGAATGATCCCCACCAATGTGGTCATACACATATCTGCAGAAAAGATGGGAGAGGGGGCCTGGAGGATTGTGGGGACAGACAGAGGACACACAGCAGAGTGGCATGTGGTACATCAACCTCTGGGAATCACCTGTACCTCCTCTGCCCAGCTCCAAACTGTGGAGGGGTGGACTCGGACCTTCATATCTGCAGCTGGGCTTGTCTATTCCTAGTTCTGTCTCATCCAGACCCGAGATTTTCAGAACGGTCTGTGTAGACCCAAGGCTCGGTCTCTTCACTCATCTGCTCCTGTCTCTCTCCGGAGGCTCCTACTCCTGTCCCTACTCATGCCAGCTCCCAGCCCCAACTCAGCGAAGGCTCATCACCTGGCAGGTGTCAGGCTGTAGGCTGTAGTCAAGATTCTGGATTCCCCTCATCCCCAACATTACAAGCCACAGGTTCTGTCAGCTCTGCTGGGTCTTGACCCTTGACCCCCCTCACCCACTGTGTCACCTCTGCTGTCCTTCAGGGGCTCCTCTACTGCTCAGGAGCTTCCTAGTCCTGCTTTTGCCTTTTACCCCCACTCCATTCTCTACAAATGCTTTAAGAGTGCAGCTCATGGGGCTGGAGGAATGTCTCAGCAGTTGAGAGTGTGTACTGCTCTTCCAGAGGACCAGGTTCACTTCCCCGCACCCACATCAGGCGGCTCACAACTGCCTGTGACTTCAGTTCCAGGAGATCCAGTGCCCTCTTCTGGCCTCTGTAGACACCTACCGGTGTGTGGTGCACATACACGCATTCAGGCCCACCCACGTATACATAAAATAATAAATCTTGTTTTAAACTGTGGCTCAGATCCCGTCAGTCCATGATTCGCCCTCCCAGTAATAAAGGAAGCTCTTTATGAATGAAGACACGTGCAGCCATGTGTCTGTCTCCTGCCTGACTTCACACCCCTCCCCTCGTGAGCTGTGCCTGCCAGGCTGGCCCTTTGGGTCTTCAGACCCAACTGTTTCACACTTCAGAGTCCATACTTTTGTTTTTCTCTGACCTCGTGTAAGCCTGAGTTCAAACATGTTCTCTCAGAGGCCTGCCCAAGCTCCAGTCTAAAGAAACTTCCAGCCGTGGGCCAATGCCCACCCTGTTAGACCATTTTCCTTCCCACACTTTCTACTCTTTAGACTCGTGTGTGTGTGTGTGTGGTGTGTGTGTGTGTGTGTGTGTGTGTGTGTGTGTGTGTTGTGTGTGTGTGTTTCTTCACCTGCTTGCCCCATTCTCCTCACTGGACTGTAAGATCCATGGGTTTGCCTCATGCATTACTGTATTTGTGCCACACACAGTTCCGGACACACAAGTGCCTGCCACACACAGTGCCTGCCACACAATGGGTGCACAACAAATACCAGCTTTTCACTCCCTAACCTCATTTCCAAGGCTTCTCCACCTTATCTTATCCATACACTCCCAGGATCATACCCCAATTTGAATTCTCACCCTTCTGAATTCCTACTCTGCCAGTGAAACTTCATCCGGTCACACCATTGGCCTTATAGAATCTCTACCACCCTTCCCAGCAGGCTCACAGCCACCACCATCATCACAGTCTCTTGCTTCTTCCTGCTCACCCACCTGGAGACTCCAACCTCTTTCTCTCTCTCTCTCTCTCTCTCTCTCTCTCTCTCTCTCTCTCTCTCTCTCTCACACACACACACACACACACACACACACACACACACACACACACACCCTGCGCCATGAGGTTTCCTTCCTCATGGATTCTAAATGCTCTCCCTCCAATCCCTCCTGGGCTCTCTCCAGTCAGCTTTATCTTCCTGCTTGGAAATGGACACTGCACTCCTGGCCTCCTGCAAGAGGTGATGTACGCCCTCACCCTGTGTCTCTCAGCCGGCACCCTTGCCTACTTCAGCATCTGTGACTAACCTGGCCATTCTCCTCTTTCCCCACGCTCTCTACTGCTACCTCTCTCCTCCTCCTGCTTTTCAAGGCTGACCTCTGTCCCTCCGGGACCTGCTTCTATCAATCACCCTTCCGTCCTGCAGCACCCTCAATGCCCGATCGTGTCCCACTCCTCCCTGAAGCTGATCTTCTGGTTTCCCATGTAAGCCCAGGCTGCCCCAGGACCCTGTACACATTCCCCTTGCAAGTCCTCGGCTCTTCTCCCTGCCTGCAGGTGGAAGCCTCCCGCTGCCAGCACTAGCCCTCCTTGCTTGTGGCAGCACCCACGTGGGAGCCTCCATGCATGCACACTCTCCTTTGGCTTCCAGGGGTTCACATAGCCACGTCCTCTCCTGCTGACCACGTCTTTTCAAGTCTTTTTCTGGATCTTCTTCAGTCCCTGCCAGAGTCCCTGTGGGCCCAATGTTGCTACCCCTGTCCTTCTCACCTCACTCCCCTCCTTAGGACCCAGGCTCTCTGAGACCTAGTCCAGGAGACCCTTTGCCCAACTCATAATGCTCAGTGGATGGAAGACCACCATTCCTCCAGGCTTCTCTTGACTCCAGACTCTCAGGCCTAAACACTTCCCCCAAATCTCCACAAGGATGTCAACTAGACATTTCTGTGTCCCAGGTGGCAGGCAGGAATTTGGGACTCCCTAGATACCCCCACTAAACATGACCTCCTACTAAGCAGCCGGTTTTTATCTCTGCTCCCACCATTTCTGGGGCCCCCACAAAGTCCAAAGCTCTCTGTCTGCCACCCAGGCAGCTGGCACAGCCTCCTCACTGCCTCCTGCTTCCTCTGGCCCAGAGCCAATCTCTAAAACAATCAATGGCCCCAGCCAGTTTGACTACCTATCAGGAAGGCTGGTACCATTCTCCAACTCACTTGCAAAGCCAGTCATTGATGCCACGGTCGAAGTGCCTGTCGGGGAGAGCATATGAGCATGAATTTGCCAGATGCAGAGCCTGGGGGCATGGGGGATGAAGCTAAGGAGAGATGGGAGCCAGCGTCTTCACTCACGTTTCCCCGAAGACATAGAGTGCAGTGATGCACTTAGGAGGCTGAGGAGGGTCCAGGTGGTCCAGGCGTGCCACAGTGTTGACAACACCAAAGAGGACCGCTGCCTTCACCCAGTCATACACCAGGTTTGAGTAGGCCAGGCCAGCTGGGGACAGATGACATCACTCTGGGGATCCGTGCACTGGCCGCCCCATATCCTGAGCCTCACCTCCTCCATGGACAGAGAGGCTTGTTTCTGTCCCACACCTACCCCCATAGAGACAGACCCTGCACCTCCCTGGAGGTGTGTGCCAGGCCCCACTGACCCTGAAACCAGCCACACCCCTCAAGTGGCACCTGCAGCTTGGGAGATTAAGGGCTTTATGGGATGCAACAAATGTGAGTCCTTCACATTTCAAAGCCTTGGTATCCTGGGTGCTACACGCTTGGGAGTATTTCTGGTGGCCCTGCCTCCATCCCATAGGGGGACCCACCAAGAGCACTGTCTGGGAGGCGGGCTGGCAAACTTAAGGTCGCTGGGAATGGTGAGGATGTAGAAGAAGTGGAAGAAGATGTCCACAGCCACGATGGCTGCCGCGCTGAGTCCTGCCTGGGCCTGGATGCGCCATAGTTCCCCTTCTGGCCTCACTGGTTCCTGGCTCACCTGGAGGGGTAGAGCCCTGTCTGAGAGAGGAGCCACAAATGGCCTGAGGATGGGGTGCTCACGCTTGGAGGAGTTATGTCTGAGACAGGAGCCCTTGTCAGGAAAAGGAGACCCAGCCGTGAGTGCTCTGGGAGTCCATGGCGTTCCCTTACCTGAGCATGGAAGCGGTCGAAGGTCATGATGGGCCCAAAGAAGAAGAAGGGCAGGTAGAAATTGTACTTGAGCAGGTCAGCAAGGGAGTAGCGGCGGTCAGGGTGGGCACAGCTCTCCAGCGCGAAGCTGGTGCAACGAAGCACCGTGAAGCCGCTGCCCCCGTGGAA